TTATTGGGGGAGTGGGATTAAAGGAATTTGAATCCTGAACAATTAGGCAACTAAAAAAGTTCTCCTCGCGACACTTCAGCGCAACAAAGTCCATCACATGCGACTTCCCAACACAATCTTGCAGAATTATCAGGACAATATAACTTAGTCATGACTAAGCAGACATATAATCAAGCCACAATGTTAATCTCATGACCAGTGGTTCCATTTAAATTGTTCTATCACCATTATCATGTTCCTAGCCCTGGATAATTTGGAGCGCAATTGTTGAGTCCAATTTATCAACTTTTCAAGTACATGTATGATGAACTGTATATTAGATAATCATTCTAGGACACGGGAGGCCATGGCCAATCTATATCAGCAACTTTCTCGCAACAGCAGTTTCGAGTAACATATATTTATTAATATAGATTATAGAACATTATGAAATGACTGGCTGTTCACACACATCACTGTCTTTTTAGATTTCGATCGAGGTGGACAACCTTTTTCGGCGCGCGTGCCAAAATCGACTAAATTTGATGAAAAAATTCTTCCGCGTGCCGACCAAAATTGTCGAGAGCTCACTCAGTTGTGACGTCATAATATATTTCTTTGAGCCATATGTCAGGGGTGGGCACACCGCGGCTCGCCAGACTTTTTGTGCGGATCGTCTCGCTAACATGAATTATTATCCAAATTTTAACTAAGAGAAAAACTTTAATGTAAACATTTTTAATTTATTAAAAGTCGTAAAGAAGTTTTCGTCAATAATTAGGACAAATTATGATTTAGTATGAAAATCGCTGTAGCGTTGAATTTAATCAGTCGAGACAGCAAATCTTTCGTCACAATGGTCAATGTTTATTGATGCGTCGGCGGTATTGCAGCTTGATTGCTGTTAGTTAGTCTAAGTTTCTGTGCAAGTACGAAGATGAAAACAGAGTTGTCAAGTCAGAATGGGAAGAAGAATACGCATTTACCAGTCAGGAGAATAAACCTTTCTGCCATAAGCTACTAAGTGAGAATAAAGTCAGCAATGTTAAACGGCACCATGAAACGAATCATGAAAACTTCTTACGAGACTACTCTCGTAAATCAGCTATAAGGAAACACAAATTAAATGAGCTCAAATTGTGCATATATTTGAGCATAGCTGCCTTGTTTATCTATTTATTGTTATTAGACTCTTGTGTGAATTTCTTTTCTGTTCATGGTATTTTGATAATATTAATAAATTCACAAATTCTGCGGCTCTTTTAACGTTCTGACTTGCAGCATGCGGCTCTTATACTAAAAAAATGTGCCCCCCCTGCCATATGTCATGAAAAAACAAAAAGAGTTTAAATAAATAACGGATTGCTAACAAACAATAATGATTAAACGTACGCAGAGTTTCAACAGATAATTCAGAGTCTTGAAACTTTTTTTCTTGAAAAAAAAAACGATTCCGTTTCTGAAGCCTCGCTCGCGTGCCGAATAAATGGGCTCGCGTGCCAAGTTCGGCACGCGTGCCAGGGGTTGCACATCCCTGGTATAGATTATAGAAAAATGTCAAAAAATCCTGATCGATATTTACATGCAATTGCCGAATACCTATCACATGTTTCCGTCTTATTTCTATTAACTTTATGTGACAAAGTCTGTTATAACCAGATCATGCTTGTTGCAGTAGAATCACACCCACGGAATGGACTATCCTGTCTAACAAAGGGTAACAGCATCTATTTTAATAACCAGTGTATATAAGTGATAATAACGGCACTTTAAATCGATAGTTTAATTGTTGTCGTCCGACATTTTCGTTTTGCCCTATCTGCAAAACTGAATGTTCCTAAATCAATTCTTCTCACTCTGATCTGCGGCTTGTTCATTTTTTTCGTTCTGACCAATCGGCAAACCTAACTCATCATAAATCTTTTTTCCCCAACTGTTTTAGTCGGCGGTTTCCTTTTTGAAGTGGCACCTGTACTTCATGGCAAAAGCAACGGTTTTTATGAAAGATTGAAAATATATTTTATTTACGAATATACAAATCCAAAAATGAAAATAATAATAAATCTAATAAACAGTTTTACAAATTTAAAAGCCCCTGAATTCATTCGTGTTCAGAATCGAACAATGTCTTCCATTCGTTTTCATTAACGTTGTCTAAGAATTCATTGACCGAGTTTTCGCATTCTTCTGTTTCAGCAACACACCCGACCCCGACCTGACACACACCCGATCAAATCTCGTCATCCTCTGTTCCATCCATGGCATTACTAATACAGCACTTCTTAAACTCCTTTGCTATGGTTTCAGCAGATATTTCCGCCCATGCTTCCACTATCCGCGAACACATCGTGGTCAAATCGACCCTTTTCATTGCGCCGCCTGTGGTGTATGAATGATTACCGTTGATCATCCAATTTTCCCATTTTTTCCGTAGTATCGCTTTAAAATACTTATTCACCACGACGTCGATGGGCTGTAGCATAGAAGTGAGCCAACCAGGTATTATTACAAGGTCCGATTTTAAGTCACTAAGAATGGACATTATTTCTGACTTGGTATGGCAGCGAAATGCATCCAATACCAAATTGGGACCGTACATTTGAACCCACGTACATTCGAACCCTTGTGTATATTCGCGGGTTCAATCTATATGCGGGTGCTAAAACCCCAGGTTAGGGTTAGTGTGGGTTCAAATATACGTAAAACAAAAAAATTTCCAAGGTGCAATCGTCGTGGGTTCAAATGTAATGGAACCTTCAAAATTACCTAAACCAGTGAGTATGGATTGATTGCTGGTTCAATTCCAGCCATATTTAAAATCTCGGAAGATTCATTCCAAGCATAGTATTTTAAATAAATAAATGACATGGAAGCTAGGATGAATTATGACTATTCATGATATTAACGTTTGCTCAAAATGTACAAGATCGTCGTCAAAATGAAGATACCAGTAATAACTACATCATTCCAATAGTAATTGAATAAAGCGTATGCACTGGCACCACGGACGTAATATGTCCTTTAGAGACCCAAAGGCCTAATGTTTTGGTGCCTTCCCGTAGTATGAGTACCAGAATGGGCCATAATTTTATTCCGGTTTTCCTTATTTTAGGTCTATTACAAGTTCGGGAACAGTCTGTGTTAGCCAAGTGAGTATCCTCCCTGCTCATAGGTTTCAGTTCCTTTACACAACTTATGTAAAATAGGCGAACAAAATTAGCCATCTCCATATTGGTACACCTACTTTCTGGAGCGCAAAAAATTGTGGTGTTCTATTTTATCTAAGATTGATTGCTGCTCTAGCCAGCTTCGCTTCTAAACGTTGCTGATTTTTATTTCCACTACTAACGGGACTTGCTACTTACTCTAGCTGAGTTTTTATTATTTTTTTGTTTTTATTTTCCCTCTCTCGATGCTGTATTTCAGATTTCACAACTTGTTTTTATATTTTATTTGTCTTCGGTTATTTTCTTCCTTCGACTGATTGCGGCTATTTTCTTATATATTTTCCATCTTAATTTTTTTTTTTGCCTTCTTCATTATCTTCCTTTGTCTTTGTTAATTTGCTTGCATGCTTTTTCTTTTACCCATTCTCATCTTTAATATATATATATATTATTTTACTTTATTATTTCTTTATTTTACTCACTTATTATGACTGAATGTGGATTGAGTTATTGGACACGTAAATGACATAACGATCGTTTCAATATTATGTTGGTCTTGTTGTTGTTCTTTGACACTTTTTGGACATCTAGTGGAAAATATAAAAAAACGCTTTTCTCTTTCATTACTGGACCGATTGCTTCGAAATTTTTACTGGTTAAAGATGAAATTTTTCTCCAGAAGGCTATTACTTTTATTTATATATTAAATATTTCTGTTAGCTCTGTGTGATTTGTTTTTGTTTTCTATGACGTCACCGAACGTTCTGCGGACGCATAGCCGACACTCCTCTTCTTTTTGATCACGTGCCATCGAACGTCGATGGTCCGTAACGAAGTCCTTACGGTACTTTGCTACGATTTTTTACTTACGCTGATCGACGGTACGCTAAACCGTACTGCGAACAGACGTGTCCATATATTTGGGCGTAGCTCTCTTGTTTGCTTGGGGCCTCCTTTTCTAGCTGATTTCTATTTATGATGACGTCTTTATTTATTTCCCCTGATCACTCGCTGCTTTCTCAATTTCATATTTATTTTACTCGTACTGCTTGCGGGATGACTGATCACTAATACCTATTTTTCCCTCAGCTATTTTTATCTTCTACTTTGATTCTTTTGGCTTGCTGATTTCCAATTTTATGATTGCTGTCTTCGTTTATTGTTTTTCGTCAAACGCTGTCACCACTCGTCTAGTTGGTTTCTACTATTTTTAATCAATCCACCTTTATTTACATTGCTTGGTCGGATGCTGGTTTACATTACGGCTGGTCTGCCTCCCGCTGGTTTTAACATTTAGTCTAACACTTCCTCAATCCTTATCCTTCATAGCCGCTTGCTGCACTTGTCTTATCCGCTATTCCTTCAATCCAACTCGAACACCCTCATACCTGGCCTGATGTTCGACCCTGTCTCTGCACCTCCCCCGTACCACACCACCGCTAATGACAAGACTGAGTCAATAAGAATCTTACTTAATTAACAACTTCGCGCTTGTCAGCCCGTTACGAGGCCGATTACCCCGAAAAAGACAACGACATTAAACATACTGGTTTGCGTCGGTTATTATTCATGCCATGAATGGAAGACGTTCATCTGAGAGTGAGACTATAGTGTGCGATGTTTTAACTTTGTGTAAATTATATGATATCCTGTTTTAATCGTGGTTCACTTAAGCTTACTTCTTACAAGAAAAATGGTTTATTCTGCTATCATCGGCGACAAGACGCATAAGATAATTTAGGGAATAAATCTGCAAACCAAATTTCTAACTGTCAGAGGAGGAATACTAAAGGCCGGTATACACGGCAGTAGTATAGCTCACCGCACAGCGACTCTCCGCACTGTGCAGTGTGCACGGAACCACAGTTCTGCGCAGTGTACTGTGACGTGAGGTCAGGCGGGAAACGGACTTGTCCTTCGTCTTTTGTATTATTTCTGTTTTGGATATTTTGGGGATCGTTGCAAGATTAATTTTATTAAAATGGGTATCGTATCGCGAAGAAGAATAAGTCGTTTTCGGTCACGGCGCTACAAGCAGTACTTGTACCGACATCAGCTGAAGTTATTGTTTGTGGTTCTCTGTATTAGATTAAAAGAGGATGAGCGCTGTGTCGGCAAGAGATTGTGGATGCACCCAATACTTTGCAGACGAAAGGAACATGGTAATTTTTTTTTACAATACACTAAATGCATACGTCTCAGTCTCACGAAGCCTATACTCACCTTCTTTGCCTCTAATTTCAGGAGAATACTACAGATTGGTTAGGGAGATGAGAATGGAAAGAGAAGCCTATTTTAAACAGTACTTCCACATGACACCATCTACATTTGACCGTCTTTTGAATATGATAGAGAGCAAGATTGTGAAACAAACTACAAATATGCGTGAACCAATTCCGCCTGAGGAACGACTTGCAGTCACTTTGAGGTATTTTGAAATAGGGTTTTAACCCACAGTATGAGTGAAATCGTGATTGATTGATTAAAATATAAATGAACAGTACCTAACGTTAGTCTACATATGGTAGTTTATCGCTAAATACAAGACTATATATTTTTCAGATATTTGGTGACGGGGGATTCATATCAGACCATCGGGTTCTCTTACAGGATTCATAAAACGACCATATCGCGAATTATTCCAGAAACCTGCGCTGCAATATGGGATTCCCTGCAGCCTGTGTTCATGGCAGTCCCAAGTGAAAATCAGTGGAAGATTATTGCAAACGATTTTAAACAATTATGGCAATTTCCAAACTGTGTTGGAAGTATTGATGGGAAACATGTTGTCATACAAGCTCCTGCAAACAGTGGTTCATCATTTTTCAACTATAAAAAAACTTTCAGTCTGGTACTGCTTGCAGTTTCAGACGCAAAGTACAGATTTATTTACGTGGATGTTGGAGCGTATGGACGGCTGAGTAATGGGAATGTTTTTGCTTCATCATCTTTTGGAAAAAACTCCTGGATGGTTCATTAGACCTGCCAAAAAGCACCATATTGGAAGGGATGATGGAGCCACTACCACACGTTTTTCTTGGTGACGAGGCTTTTCCCTTAAAAACCAATTTGATGCGTCCTTTTCCAGGTACCGGATTATCAAGAAGGTCCCGTATTTTCAACTATCGCCTCTCGAGAGCTCGCAGGGTTGTGGAGAATGCCTATGGCATTATGATATCTCGATTCAGAATTTTCCGCAGGCCTATATGCGTATCACCAGCCAGAACAGACCATATCATTGAAGCATGCACAGTCCTTCACAACTTTCTTAGATATGATTCTAATTATTTTGAGGCGGATTTCGTAGATCACGAGGTCAGTGAAAGTGCAGTGGAAGGCCGAAGAAAATTCAGCAATGTTAAATATCAGGAAGATTGGAAGGCCGAGTGCGAAGGAGGCAGTAAAAGTTAGAGAACAATTCAGCGAATATTTTGTTAGTGAGAAAGGGGCACTGCCATGGCAGGATAAATATGTGTTCTCGAGTGGTCGAAATATGTTCTAAATGCACTATCCCCCCTATCATTTTTTGGTTTTATTGCTTCGTTTCACCTTTTCTGAATAAAAAAAATTTTGCTTCCGACTTGGTTAGCGGAATCTTTCATCTTGTTTTTATATATGTTGCCACAGTGGAGATAATAGCAACTACGAGGGTAAATCGCCAGACTGGTTGACATTTTAGGTACACTATTGGGTTAGCACTTACAGGGATGTACAAAAGCTACTGAGCAATGATATCCAGTTGGCAAGATTTAATACAAAAAAAATATTCAGAAAAATTTATATTTAAGTAATATCAATAGTTTATTCAATAGAGTATTTAATTTCATTAATGAGATTCATGACTCCAACTTTGAACCTCCATCTTTTTTCCACACTCATCGTCTTAACCTCGTGAGCCATGCTCAACAAGAAGAGTTCATCAGGATCTTCCTGTATTTTCTCTAAAAACAAGAAACATTTATATATATATATAATTTTGGTTTGATACGTACCAGTAAGTAGATATTTTTTTGAGTGATCTGAAGCATAAATATTTCACCAAAAATTATTTACACAAATGAGAAAGTCAACAATTTAAACTAAAATAATGTAGGTGTCATGGTACTCGTGTAGTACGTGAATCAAGATGCCAGACATCGGAACATAGTATGTGTACCAGGTTAAGGTTCAACCCTAATTTCAGATACAAATACTACAGAAGGCACTTGGCTAGAATTCAAATTCTTAACAGAACTAAAATAAGGGAAATTGGAATAAAATTATGTCCCAACCTGATACACACACTACGTTCAAAGCGTCCGCCATCTTGGTTAACATCGTACGGGAGCGCCAATTTTTTTGAAATAGCGACTCAAGATGGTTTCCAGGCATCCAAGTTATGTACCGCGATTCACTTTATAAGAATCACTGCTCGACTTGACTTACCTAATGACTGCTGCAATTTTTCTAACACAGCACTGAGGTCATCCCGGCTGCTTTTACGCTTTTTTGCCACAGGTGGTTGAAATTGGTCTGTTTCATCTGCTAAAAAAAGAATGGCATATTCGATCATATAATAGTATAGAATTCAAAAGCATTTTTTCAGAAAAGCGAATACAACTTATTTATTGCAACAGTGCATGATATTAGGGTATTTCATAATACAGTATTATACGTCTGACAATTAAAATTTATAAAATGTTTTAAAATCATATTTTGGTGCTTACCTGATACCGCTTCCAATGTAACATCAACATCACTCGAAGATGGTGTATCCGGCATTGGCAGGTTTGATGTTGTACTGTAAATGTTTGTGCAGAAAGACGTTATCTTGTACTTACATTACAGTGCCTAATTTTGGTCACTTTATACAAAAGAATGTTCTGAGCTACCTAAGTACTGATGCCTAAATTACACAGACATACTGTATAATAAGTTTAGGATTCTGAACATAGCTATGAGAAAGAACACAGATGTTAAATATGTATAAAATGTCCAAATCTATTCAACATCAATTTTGTTCGAAATATGTTCAACTATAATTTTTTACATTTCCTAATTCTTTGCCTCATATTTTTTAATATGAAATCTAATTTGGAAATTGATAAAGATACCATACTCAAAAATAAAATTTTTGTATAAACTTCGAATAGTACATTATTTAGTGTTGGTACCCTGAAAGTTACCTTTATGCATATCCTGGTCAACTACAAAACACGATTCTGGTCTAAACTAACAGCCTTTCCTTGGTAAAAGCTTTATTATCAAAAGATACACTGACAATATGTAGAAAATGCAGGCTCCTTGTTCAAACACCCACCTCCTCATGGCTGTAAACGGTTCAAGGAACTCTAAGGATCTCATAAGGCTCCACTCAACCCGATGACTTGCCGCCGCACCAGATTTCAATTCTGCCCTTTTCCCTCCTATATTTATCTCGAAGGTTTTTCCACTTATTCTCGCATTCTTGCCCTTCACAGAATATGAAGAGGAAACTAGTTCTTTGTAGCAAAACATAGCACTTTCTTTAAAGGCGATTCAACTAAATTAACCAATACCGATACCTCGTAATCTAGTCATCATTTAGCTTATTTACATCGATTAGGCTACTATCATTTTCAGCAGTATAAAACAATTCATTTGCTGCAAAATTGGACTAGTTCCTGACAAGCCATAGGCCAAGTCTAAAAAAATTAACTACACTAATCAGACTACTTACATGGCATACCCATCTCTCGAGCTATCTCGTAAAATGTATATACAGTTAAATTAAAAAAATTTGTTCAGAGTCAGCGTAGAGTCATTTTCTTCTAGTTCTAGGAAGTACCTTTGAAATTCTGACTGCAATGAATCAAGGTGCTCTACAATACAGTTTTTCAAATCTTCTTGTAAGATTTCCGGATCTTCATTGACGCTTGATAATCTATCAAACATCGCAAAGTTCCCTTCAGATACCTTCCGGTGTTGTGTTGAGGCTTCCGGATTTGATGTAATTTACGATTTTTACTACCGAATCTAGTACATTTTGCAGAGGGGTTGGCAAAGTTTTACTTGCAAGTGCGTATCTGTGAATGGCACAATGTGTACCTTTGGCTTCAGGAGCAAGTTCTTCGACTTTCTTTTGAAACCCCGAACGTGACCCTAGCATGGCCGGAGCTCCGTCAGTACAAACTCCACAAACACGTTTCCATTCTAGATTTGCGGATTCGAAAAATATTTTTAATTTCTCCATAATATCTGAGCTTGTAGTTGTACTGGCAAGCTCATGACAAAAGAGGAATTCTTCTTTGATGTCCCCTGAATAAATCTATCTTGCAAAAACCAACAGTTGGGCGCATGAACTAACGTCTATTGATTCATCAACCTGAAATGAAAACATCGGAGAAGCTTTAATTTCATTTACCACCAAATCTTTGACATCTTCGGACATATCTGAGATGAGCCACAGTAGTGTTGAAAAGGGAAAGTTGTTTTACTTTTGCCACGCTGTCTTCTCCGAGAATTAATTTCACAGTTTTCAACAAGCACGGCTTAACAAGAGTTTCTCCAATTGTGTGAGGTTTTTTGTTTTGCAATTTGCAGAAAGACCTCATAGGAAGCTTGGAAGTTTTTCTTGATAGAAGCTCCCTGAAACATCAAGTCTTTGACGTTTTATAGCGGCTTCATGTCGTCGAAAAAATTCCAAATTCTTCGTGGTGAATTTGGAATGCTTAGTCTCCAAATGACGTTTCAATTTGGACGGTTTCATGGATTCAGCACTGAGAACGACATTGCACAATACACACTGCGGCTTCTCAATACCACTGATGACCAAGGATGTAAAACCATACTTCAAATAGTCTTCCTCATATTGTCGCTTCTTCGCCATGGTAAATAAACTACGGGAATTATAACTTCACTGCAGGATGTACGATAATCTTCAGGATAAAACAACATAGACTACAAGCCTACCCCACAGAAAACCCCTTGGTATCAAAATCCCGGCGTTCCACAGCATTTCTTCGAAGCCCGCGTATTTACCGTATCTCGGCGCGCGGAAATGCAGACAGTTTTTTTTTTGACGTCACAATGATAAACATGCCATAAACATCTCGTGCCGCTTGCTTGATTTTCAAGCAAGAAGCGACATTATGGGGGTCTCACCACAGCTAGTGAAAATCTCTCGAAGGCTTCTTAAACAGGACTATGTCGCAATAATGCTGCGTCGATACGTTTGCAACGTCTGCGTAACAACGTAAAACGTCATCAAATTAGAAACACGTTATGATTCTCACCAGGGTTGCCAGATTGGCTTTTTAACGCCAAATTTGCCAAATCTGGCGTTAACACGTTTGGCGTCAGATTTTCAGTTTGGCTTTTTTATGACCATGCCAATGTCATTTTTTGAAATCATAGAAATCTATATTCAGTGTACAAGAATATTCTATTGCTTAGTTACGGTACTTTATATTTGAATGTTTACCCAAGCATCAATTTCCTTTTTCATTTTCGTAACCAATCAGGATTTAATAGACTATAATGTAACAATGGGAATTTCTGCAGACGCTTAGAAACTTTTGCGCCTGTTGCTCAGGCAAATACGGTTAGCATATGCCCTATGGCTGTAAACTTTGCCTCGTTTTATAGTTTTACATGTTATTTGTCAGTTTTTAAATTGTTTTCTAAAAAAATATTCGTAAATCAAATAACTCAATTGCGATTACTGGATTAGGTCTTCCGGGAGCTTTAGTTTAGTTGCAGTACGGTAATCAAAATTAGTTTCTCCAGCTCTGAGCGCTGTAACTGTAACCTGTAAGCGGCCAATGGTTGGATGATTTTAATATTGGTGATAGTTTAGAACATGTATTTCATTTTGAAAACCTAAAATGCCCAAAACACTCTGAAGTTTGCATCAAAATTTTTTCTATATCTAAATTAGGTTTAAAAAAATTTAAGGTAGATTAGATCCAATCAAACGGCGCCAGGTATTGTATATATTGAACTGTGGAAAACTGTGCTATCGGTCAATATTTTTCTTTATTATTTGGTCTTTAGATGTTTTCACAAATAATATATGAATATAGTCTAGATGTCAGCTTGATGTTTATTGTCGGGTGATTCAGGTTCTCACGTTCAATATTTACTTCTTACATTTAAATCTATCATTACTGCATTATGCCAAAGTGGAAATCAACTTATGATAGCAACCGAAAATACAATTCTCAATGGGAGAAGACATTTGTATGGCTCACCAAATCAACTGATGGTTTCAACTCAGCATATTGCAAATTGTGCAGATGTACTATTGTGTCAAGACTTTCCAATCTGACAAGTCATGAGGCAACTGAAAAACACAAGAGGAATACACCAGTGCCATAAGCACCATTGATCACATGAGTGAAATAATGGTATCCCATGGAAGTGGCCGCACTCTTGGTCATTTAAAATTACACAGGACAAAGTGTATAGCCTCAATAAAAAATGTTATTTCACCAGAATTGAAATCTGATCTAATTCGAAATCTGCAAAACAAAAAGTATACACTCATAGTTGATGAATCCACAGATGTTTCAACTCAGAAGTATTTGTGTATTTTAGTTAGGTACCTCAACGATAAAACAAATCAAATTACTACTAGTTTTTTAAGTTTGATTCCAGTCCAAGAAGCCACTGGAGATAACATATTCAACCTGATTAACAAGGAGATAAAAAGCTGCAATCAAATCTTGGAAAATTGCATTGGTTTTGCATCAGATGGTGCCGGAAATATGGTTGGGTGCAACAATTCAGTTTGGTCCAAAATTAAAGATGTATCTCATCTATGTGCACAATACAAGTGCGTTTGTCATTCATTAGCGTTGTGTGTCAAATATGCGGTACCAAAATTACCTTCGAGCATTGGATTTTTGTTGAAAGAGATACCAAATTGGTTTCGATATAGCAATTTGAGACGAAAAACATTTAAAGATTTATTTAAGATTATGAACTCTGCAACAGAATTTGAGATAGCTAGAACAGCACCACTTCCTTTTGAAAAAACGTCTTCTACTCGCTGGCTTGTCCGAGGAAAAGTGATGTTCAATATATTGATCAATTGGGAAGAGCTCAAAGCATACTTTATTTCAGCTGAATTAGCTCAAGGAAATTTTGGAAGTAAATAGAAGGCACGAATTATAAAGGAAATGCTTCTAGATCAGAAAAACTATTTATATTGTCATTTTGCAACCCCTCTAGTGCAGGATTTGGGAAATTGAATAGCCTCTTTCAGAAAACTGAGGCAGATCCTCACGAATTACACGATGAGTTATTAATGCACTATAAAAGTCTAAGTAGCAGGATATATGATATTGACAATAAGAAAAAATATATTTATGAAATCGATTTTGGCGCCAAATTCCTGGAAGAGTGTGATGTCTATATTAGGAAGAATTTGAACACCAATGAATGCCAACATGTTATTTTGTCCATTAAAAAAAGATGTTTATCCATTCTTGAAGAAGCCCTTGATCAAGTTAAAAAGCGACTTCCTTCATCAAGAAATTTGTTTAAAGATCTAACTAATTTCAGTCCCGAAATAATTTTGAACCAGGTTTCGAGGCCAATATTTTCAAAGTTGCCGTTTTTGCACCTTACCGGGGAAAATCAGACTATTAGTGAAGACCAGTACAGGAAATTACCTTTTATTGATTGGAAGGAAGAAAAACAGTTCAGAGAAAAGGGGCTACCCCGAGACACTGAGCAATTCTGGAAAGGAGTAATAGAAAATCCGCAATTCAAAGAGCTCGCCACATTTGCATTAACTTGCCTTATAACACCTATTAGCAATGCCGTAGTGGAAAGGATTTTTTCTTTATTAACTAGCATAAAGACGAAGGCAAGAAACAGGCTTCAGTTACAATTGTTGGAGGCAATAATACGAATCAGAGCAGATCTTTTATCGTTCAATAGGTGCTACAGGGAATTTGTCCCCTCAGCCGAAATGTTGAACAGATTCAATTCTAACATTTTATATTCTACGAAATTGTCCGATGAATCTGCTATCAATGAAGAGGACAATCTATTTGAAGAAGAAATTTTGATGTGACAAATTTACCTTTTTTTAAACAAATTTTGTGATCCGTAAAATTTTTGGCTTTTTCGTTCCATAGATTTGGCTTTTTTTTATCGCCTGGGTCTGGCAACCCTGATTCTCACTAACAAGTGCCTCAACAGTATCTGGCGGATGTGGATTTGCTATGCTCCTTGGAAGGTTGTAGGAAAGTTTTTAATACATACAATAATCTTCTTGAGCATTTGAAGCAACACATGAGAGAAAATTCTCAAATTGATTGCCC